CAACGTATTATTTATTTACATAAAAATTACCTTGTCATTTTTGTATTTATACACGAAGATATAAATTGTTATTGTTATTCGTCTGATTTTTTTTTGTTTGCCTTCCTAATTCATAATAAATACATGGCAACATTAATTAGTGGTAAAGAAAATTGTGTTAAATGTGAAAAAGAAAGAGCAACATCAAGATGTACAGGATGTTTACAATATTTTTGTTACAATCATTTTAAAGATCATCATCAAGAATTAAATAAACAACTTGATGAAATTGAAGTTAGTCGTGATATATTTAAACAAATACTTGATCTACAAATAAATCGAACAAATCATGGTTTAATATTAAAACAAATCGATGAATGGGAAGAAAATTCAATAAAAATTATTCAACAAACAGCAAATGAATGTCGAGAAATCGTATTTCAATATGCTAATAGAGATATTCATCAGATTGAAGTTAATTTAATAAAATTAACTGATCAACTAACAGAAATGCGTCGAGAAGATGATTTTAATGAAATTGATATAAAAGAATTGGTAGAATCATTAAGTCATTTAAAAGATCAATTAAAGGAAACAAAAGAAGAACCTAATCCACCGTCTAATCTTTCAATTCAACAAACATTTACACCACTTGTTAATAAAATTTCTGTTATAATACCTTCTCGTAAGTAATTAGATTAAAATAACATGAATGTAAATTTTTTTTATTGATTTTTTTTAGCGCAACCGCCTTCTTCTCTGAACACGAAAACTCGTATTAAATGGAAACAATATGGAATTACAGTTGCCGGTGGAAATGGAAAAGGCAATCGTTTCAATCAATTCAGTTCTCCTCGTGGGATTTATATTGATGATGATGAACAAAGTATTTATATTGCTGACTATGAAAATCATCGTGTTATCGAATGGAAACCTGACGCTATGAATGGTTTAGTTGTTGCTGGTGGAAATGGACAAGGATATTCTTTAGATCAATTGGATCGACCTACAGATTCAATTCTTGATAAAAAAAATAATGGTCTTATTATTTGCGATCGAGGAAATCGGCGAGTGATACAATGGTCTTCTCAAAATGAAAAAAAACAAGAAATACTCATATCGAATATTTATTGTTCTCGTGTAGCAATGGATAATGAAGGATGTCTTTATGTTTCTGATTGGGATAAAAATGAAGTAGTAAGATGTAAACCAGGAGAATCTCATAGATTAATTGTAGCAGGTGGACATGGAAAAGGAGAACATCGTAATCAATTAAATTCACCTACATATTTATTTGTTGATCAAGATCGTACTGTTTATGTATCAGATTATCATAATAATCGTGTAATGAAATGGAAAGAAGGTGCAAGAAAAGGAACTATTGTTGCTGGTGGTCAAGGTCAAGGACATAGTCGTTCACAATTAGATCATCCTCAAGGAATCGTTGTTGATCAATTGGGTAATGTTTATGTAGCTGATTGTTGGAATCATCGAGTAGTGTGTTGGCGACCAGGTGCAAAAAAAGGTAGCGTTGTTGTTGGTGGAAATGGAAGAGGAGATGCTTCAGATCAGTTTCAATATCCTGTGGGTTTATCATTTGACCGAAAAGGTAATCTTTATGTTGTTGATCAGAGTAATCATCGTGTACAAAAATTTCATATTGATAATGATGATTAAAATTATCTTCGATAGTCAATTGCAATAAACGAAAATAACAAACTTTTATTATTATCAATTTTTTTTCAGACTATGATGTGATATTCATGTATAAATAAAGATATATATTTTATGCAAATAATTATAAAGATTTACGTGTTGAATTAAAATTTTTGATAACTCTAATTGAAACATAATTGTCAGACTTCAATACTGTTTTATTGAAATGTAATTTTATGCTCAATGGTAAGTAAGTCATATGTAGTATATTTCACCATATGAAGAAATTGTCTACGTGTTATATGAATCATTTAACGATAAAGTGGAGAAAAGAATAATGACTCATTGAAATAACTTCGGTATATAAAAAGAAAAAAAACAACATGCTGTATTTTTTATAAAACATTATTCAATCGTTCTTTATTTTAATTTTTATAGAAACTCATCTATAATGGGACAAAATGGAAGTACTACACATAAAAATAATGTTATCGATAAATCTAATAATAATAGTATGGATCTTTCACCACTGTTTTATGAACGTAAATTATTAAAACGATGTGAACATATTGATTTTGATATTGATGCATGGTACAAGATTTTGCATAATGAAACATTTCATACAGAATTTATTTCAATTTCACCAACAATTGCTCGAGCGTTTGTTAATTATTATCAAACACGTTATAATTCAAAAAATTTCTTGACTTTTAATGATTTAAAATCAATTCAATCTATACAAGATCAATTAAAAGAACAAATAAATGGTAGTTTTATTCGTTTAAGTTCACGAAGTCCAAAAGATGGTCAACCATTAGATATGGAAACATTAAAAAAATTCTATTATCAAGAATTAAATCTATTAAAAACGAATTATCCCAATGAATATGATACTATTAATGGTAAAGCAAATATAGAAATGATTGCTTATTGTTATGGTCAATTTCATTCATTAAAAGTTACAAATGAATTCGAAGCATTAAATTTAATTTTATCAAGTGAAAGAATTTTTCTTGATTTACTCGATGCACTCTATTGTCAAGAAGTACAAGATAAGAAAAATCTTAATCTAAATAATATTAAACTTCATGATTGGAATAATAATATAATTATTCGTGAATGGAATAATTCATTAGATCCATCAATGGAATTTCGTTGTTTTGTTTATCAATCAAATTTAACTGCAATATCACAATATAATCATTATTATAAATTCTATCATTTACAGAATGATTTAATTATTCAACAAATTAAAAATGTAATTATTAAATATTGGGAAGAAAAATTAAAATCGATTTTAGATAAATTTACAGAAAAATATTCAAATTGTATTATTGATATAGGTGTAATTAAAAATAATTTAACTGATGAATTTGAATGTATAGTTATTGAAATGAATCCATTTGCATCAAGTACTGGTCCAAGTTTATTTAATTGGAAAATAGATTATGATCAATTAACAGGTGAAAAAAATGAAATTGAAATACGTATAAGATCCGATTTTTATCCAAATATTGATGAATATATTAAATTTGTTTTTCAAGAGATTAAATTTAATTCAGAAGATAATGTATTACATAATGATGATGATGATGATGAACCTTATTTTTTGTTTTTAAATAAAATAAAGACACAACTTTCTGCATAGAAAAAACATAGTCGAAGCGTTTTTTATTGAATCAAAAAATATAACGTGAGTGTTCTTTAGTTATCTATACCCATCCCTTAAGCAAATGGAATAATCTATTGTATAAATTTGATTTCGATATAATTTTTTTAGTAGTTTGAAATGTGTCTTTATTAATCAATGTTATATAGAAAGTAATTGGATGTTTCGTCAATAATAACCAATTATTTGAGCTTCCGAATATTGAACAGCCCAATCTGAACCACGTTGAGAAGTAACCAGAAGTCGATAACTTTTATAAGCAATAGTATTTGAAAAATTTTGTTGAGTAACGTATTGCTGTCGAGCAGGAACTGTTGTAGGATCAATACCAGTCGAACCGTTATATATAAGCGTCCAACTCGAACCAATATCGAGTGCATTGCTATTACTTCCTTCGAGAGTTACGGTAATTGGATCACGATTAGGGGAATCATTTGCCGTTGCAAAAAGAAGAGCAGTAGCAATTGAATTATTACTAATAGTAGGTGTTACATAAAAACCAGTGTCTACTCCAGGTGCAGGAGCTTCGATATTAAAACCACCAGTACTTCCAAAATTCAAGTACTTCGTAGAAGTTAAATTGTCAATCGCTTCAGGAGGCATTTCACTGCTGCTTGAGAAACTGCCATTTTTACAACCTGTAGACATACCAGCTGATGTATTGTATATCCCAACAATAGGGTCGCCTGCACGAGTGATTGTTCCGAACGAACGTACTTTTATTAACGATGATGTTACCAATGTTGAACTGTCTGTAACAGTAGAGCCTATAGTTACAATTAATACAAAAAAATAAAGTGTATACAATTATTTTAAATTAAATAGAACGCAAATGACTGAACAAACTTTCGTTTTGATGGTTACAATCGTATTTCATCATTTTGTATCAGATTTTTAAAAAAATGTTTCTGATTATTTTCATTAATATTTTATTTAAAAAGAAATTTTAAGAATTAAACTGAAGTTTAAATGAACTATTCTAATGTTATCATTTTTTTAAATACCATTGCTCTCAGAAGACTGACATATTTTAGTCTACTTTGAATAAATAAATTTGAATTTTATAATTTTAAAAACACATTATATATTTTAAAAAATCAAATAGAAAGTCTGATAAAAACGTTGAAGTTTACAACTATACTTTTGATGAAAACAATTGTATTTAACTTACTTATTTGGCTTGTTGATGTAGTGGTTGTCGAAGTAGTTGAAGAAGTGGATGAACTGGTTGTCGAAGAAGTCGATGAACTGGTTGTTGAAGAAGTAGTTGTTGAGGTGGATGAACTGGTAGTTGAAGAAGTGAATGAGCTGGTTGTTGAAGAAGTGGACGAGCTGGTTGTTGAAGAAGTAGTTGACGACGTGGATGAACTGGTAGTTGAAGAAGTAGTTGATGAGGTGGATGAACTGGTAGTTGAAGTAGTGGATGAGCTGGTTGTTGATGAGGTGGATGGACTAGTTGTTGATGAAGTAGTTGATGAGCTGGAGGAACTGGTTGTTAATGAAGTAGTTGACGTTGACGTCGTAGTAGTTGTTGAAGAGGTGATTGCACTTCCTGTCGTAGTCGATGTGGTCTCGCTAAATCATATATGTAAACTTTAAGAAATATTTTCTTAAAAGATGTTATATCTTACGTTGAGTTAGTAATTGAAGTCGGTGTATCTAAATAATATAATAAATTGAAATAAGAAATATGTAACTTATTCTACAGTAGTTCGAGTATATGTCGTACAAATAAAAGATCTCCATATCAGAAAAATTAACAAATATGTTCGCATCTGAGTTATGACTAAATTAAAACGATTCAAACAATTGCACTGTTCAATTGTCATCGGTTGAAAGAAATTCTATCTGCCACCTCATTTTCTCTAATGAAACAATTAAGAACAAATCTAAATAATCTTAATTATTTTGAATCGTATCAGTCATGTTTTCTACTATTTTTCCATTTTATTGAAAATCAGAGATCAAGTAAACTATAATTCTATAATCTTCTTCTTTCAAATTCAAATTCATGGATTTTTTTTACGACAACAAACATACTCAGAGATTGAATAGTTGTCACCGATATCGATGATTGATTAATAAATGTCAAAGAAGAATTAATATAAAACTGAATTAATATTGAATTCTTATTTGAATAAAATAATTGACAAGTTTGATTTGCTTCAAAATAATTTAACGCAGATACTAATTCATTGGATTTTACCAATTCACATATGCATTTTTCACGACTAATATTCAATAAAGTACTATTTATTATATCGATCATAATATAATCTTCTATTTTACCAATACTAATACAATCACCAATAGAAAATAACGATAAAATAATAACAATCATCCAAAACATATCTTTAACTTTCTTGTGTTCTACAACCTTCTACCAATTATTTGAATAACTTTCATTACTATTCTTTTTTTTTACATTTATTTTCTAAAACTCATTCTTCTTCTGTATACTTTCATATTTAATTATTGTAAAAGACGCAGCATATACCGTGTCTGACCTATTTCTATGAAAAAAAATGCATTCATAACTACACTCTATACAGAAAGAAGCAGAAAAATGTTTCCATTAAGAAAAAAATGATTTCACTTCCTTTAACCATTTGCAAGATTGAAATTAACCTTGCATCTCTTCGAATTAACCAACAAACTCAACATATTAATATAAAAAGAAGGACAGCAAAAAAATGTTTTTAAGTAGATACTGAAATAGTTATTAAAACAAACGATAGAATTATAGTATGCTTAGACGATAATTTATGAAAAATATTTTTCGAGTTAATACTAGGAGAAGATGAATACAATCACCTAAAGTTAAATCTACTTAAGAACAGAAAAAAAACATCATAGAAAGTGTCTTATACTATTAGTATCGAAGTAAAAAGATATCTACAATTATATTTCTGTCTGATAAATACCGTTCTTTTACTAATTCAATTCTCTTTTAAAATAATTACCACGGCGTTATGACAGAAAGAAAAAGAAACTCAACAAACCATAATTTATTTTATTTATGAGTTCAATCAACAAATTGCGATGATATATACAATAAGCGAAATATCCTTATCATTTATTTTGTATAAAACGTACCAAAAACTTAATACCGATATTTCTCATACTAATGTATGTTATTATCTAAGGTTGAAAAAACAGTATTGTTAATGTTCTATTCAAATTATTTTATAAAAGGATTCATTAATTTACACTTCAATAAAACTTTAAACAGATAAATTCTTTTGTATACACACTCTAGCAATAATTTTTTCGCCTCGAATACATTCTTAAGCATAATTTATTCAACATATAAAATGTCTTGATAAATGCAGTACCTTCTCATTTCCACCAAATGAATTCATCGATGGTAACCTTTGAAACATGGTTTATTTGTTTCGATATATTCATGATAATTGGTCTTATTTTAACTATTATTCTTAGTAGTATTTTTCTATTAGTTATCATTTCGGATAAAACATGTCATACATTACCAATGATGTTAATTGCTAATACATGTTTTTCTCAATTTATATTTACTAGCGATATACTTTTTATGATTATAGTTACATTAAAAAATGATCTCAAACAAATTGATTATCAAGATTCACTTTGTATAGTTCGAGGTTATTTATCATATGCTTTATGTATTATAATGAACTGTTCTTTTTTATTACAAGCTCTTCATAGATATATTCTTGTTGTTTACCCGACTCGTTTATTTTGGCAAACAAAAAAAATTTATATATTATTTATTTGCATAACATGGATATATGGTTTTTTATCTCCATTAGCATTTATATTTACTGGTGATATAACCTATGATGTTGATAATCAAATATGTCAAATTCCTTTAAAACTATCTTTCTCTCTAATTTTTGCGATTAGTAATGTTTATATTATACCTACGTTTTTGATACAGTTAATTTATATGAAATTAGTTCGATATGTAAAAGAAATAAGAAAACGTGTAACAACTGGAAATAGTTTATTTCGTGCACAAAGAGAATTAAGAATGGTACGACGAATACTTATAGTTTTGACTATATTAATTATATTTGGTTTACCATATACAATATTTATATTGATATCATTTTTTACTGAACCACCAAAATATCATTTTCGAATAGCCGGTATATTTATAAATTCATCGTCAGTATTTGTTATGATTGCTTTGTTTCAATTTACAGAACCACTCAAAGTATCTATGTTGAAAAGAATAAATTTACGACCAACAGTTATACGAACAATAACATAAATATAAGTATTAGTGATGAACACAAAGACTTTTTCTCAAAATTATAACGATTATAATCGATTTAAATAAAAAAAAGAAAATTTTCATTAATACTCTCTTGTCATAATATAAGTCATTGGTAATAACCATATGTAATGATCACTTTCATCAGTTATATGAGATTTTATTGCATCCTACATAATTATCTAATACTCAGAGGTGGCGCGAGTCAGCCAATATTGAAGGGGCGGGGAGTATAACAAAATATTTTGAAGTAAAAAGATGAATTTTGCGATTTTTTAGGGGGATGTAACATTATCTTTGGTAAAAAAGTTAAGAAGATTTACCGATTTTGTTGAGCAAAATATAAAAATAAAGTAACACTCATAATCACGAACTTAATGAGACGATGGTATTTGTTATTATTTTAGACTGTTATAGCAGCTGTGACTGACAGCTTTTTTTTATCTGATATAGCAAGTCAGATGAATTTTGAGAATTACTGTATTTCACCTAGAAAATGAAACAAGTAACGCGACGCAATCGCCGCTGACCCTCTACTGAAAGGATTTGGTCGGATCGATCACCATCCTCATAGTAAGATAAAGATTTGTTTTCGTTCATTAATCGAATCACTTGATCACTTCTCAAAAAGGCTTTCACTGTGACTCATTTGACGCACTTTAAGCTCTCAAACTATCGTCTCGTCGTTCGTCGGCCTCCCTTTGGCCGGCCACTCACGACCAGCCGTTGACATACATAGTGTATTTTTCTATTTTCTCACCAGTCACATGACCATTTTTACATATGAAAACTAAGCCGCCCATATTGACTAGATACATAATCAAAAACTTTTAGATTTTACATAACAGTGTGTGGCTTTCAGCACAGATTTTAATCTCTCTCTTATTCTCAAAAAAATGATAACCTGGCTGATTCACTCTCGGAGGAATATCAGTTAGGTTTCTGCAACAAAACCGTTCAAGCTACTTGAGAATTTTCAAGTCTATACATTGTATTAACTTTCCGAATTAACGTCTAAGCATTCGTCGACCTCCCTCCGGTCGGCCACTCACGACTAGCCGTTTGTATGGATACTTTCACTATATCCTTCACTTTTGATTCACTTTTGAGGGAAATAAATTGATTTCCTGTCAGTATCACTACAAAACGCGATAAGCTTCTGATAATACGATTCCTAAAAAGAGACTGAAACGAGGAAGTACTGTTTTATAAATCGCTACGCATAGAGCATATTCGTCTAGCATAGTCCTTCACATATTTGGAATGATAGTTATATATATGATGTCGATGAAGATCCAACACCAGGGTCGCAATCAGATATCTCGCTTTTATTTACATTTTTCTGCTACAATTATATCGAAAGACATGGCGTGTCATAGTCCACAACGGAAAAATCTTTAATTAAAACTGATACTGAGTTAATAACTTTTCTTCCGCTTACCTCAACTAGAGTTTCTATGATGTAACCATTACTAAATCTCTTCAATTTTCAAAAAACCAACATCGGATTCATGTTCCTCCATTCGATTATTTTTGATCAAACTCTATAAGAAAAAGTTTTTTTTGTACAAAAAGTGGTCCATTGTTTAAAAAAATTGATACCTAAAAAATTTTTACAAAACTAACCTCAGATTCGAGTTCTTCGGCTCCGATTACCTTTGATCGAAGTTCATGAAAAAAAAAAGTTTTCGTAAAAAAATGACTTAGAAATTTTTGTAAAAAACTAACTTCGGATTCGAGCACCTCGACCCCGATTACCATTGATCAAACTTAATAAGGAATAAAAATTTTTTGTAAAAAAGTAACCTTTTGTTAAAAAATGACTTAAAAAAAATTTGTAAAAAATGGTCCTTTGTTAAAAAATATTACTTAAAAATTTTTTGTAAAAAAGTAACAGTTTGTTAAAAAAATGACTTATAAAAACTTTTGTAAAAAAATGGTCTTTTGTTAAAAAAATGATTTAAAAAGTTTTTGTAAAAAACTAACCTCAGATTCGAGTTCCTCGACCCTGATTATCCTTCAGTCAACCGTTATAGCAGGAAAGAATTTGAAGTTTTCATCAACTAATTAGAGTGAGCGAACGAACGAACGAATTCACGAATTCACGAATTCACGAACGAACGAAGTTTGCTCATTCTGCGTAATACCCTCCTTTCAGTAGAGGGAATTACAATACAACATCAAATAAATTATTGTCACATTTTTATCTAACTTCATTCATTTGTATTGTTGTTGCTGCAATTATATTTGATTGCCGCTTTATTTTTTTCATGATATATGTCTTAACAGGATCTGTGAATTGAAATAAGGTAATCATAATAAACACCAATGAGATATAAACAAATGTAAAAGCAATACGAAAATGATATTTAGGTGGTTCAGTGAAAAATCCAATAAAGATGAAGGTTGTATAAGGTACACCGAGTACTAATAATATCGACACAAGTATAACTATTCGATGAACCATTTTTAGTTCTCGTTGTGCACGAGATACTGTATTAACTATTGTTACACGTTTATTTATTTCTTTTACATACAAAATTAGTTTGACATAAATAAACATAATACCATTTAGTGGTATGAAATAGACATAAATGATATTATAAATTATTATAAAAGACAAACGAAAAGGTGTTTCACATATCTGATTGTCAGTATTGTATTGAATTTCACCAGTGACAACATGTGGAATAATAAATATAAAGGCACACACCCATGTTACACCAATGAGAAAACCTTGAACTTGTTTTCTTTGCCAGAAAAGTCGTGTGGGATAAATAACTGTTATATACCGATAGATTGCTTGTAATAGATAGGAGTGCAATTGTGCAGCAATTGTTACATGACCGAAGTAGCCTCGAAAAATACATAGTGAATCTTGATATGAAATTTGTTTAACATCATTTTTGAGTGACCATATGACCATGCCGAATAAATCAATTGCGAAAAGAAGTTTAGCTAAACAAGAACTGGCAACAAGCATCACGGGAACTGTATGACATGTTTTATCAATTATAATAATAAATAAAAATAGTAAACTTAGTATGATCACCAAAATAAGAAATATAAGATTGATAATATCAAGAGTAGGGATGTACCGAGCCCGAGCCTTGACCGAGCCTCTCGGGCTCGGGGCTCGGTAGGCTCGGTCAGGCTCGGGCTCGGTCAGGCTCGGGGCTCGGTAGGCTCGGGGTCGGTCGGGCTCAGATGTAAGAAATTCACTCCTACATCCACCTGACACCGAGCCTTGACCGAGCCTCGAGTTGTGACCGAGCCTACCGAGCCCGAGCCCTGATCGAGCCCCGAGCCTACCGAGCCCGAGCCTTGACCGAGCCCCGAGCCTGACCGAGCCCCGAGCCTAACCGAGCCCCGAGCCTACCGAGCCCCGTGCCCGACCGAGCCCCGAGCCTACCCGAGCCCGAGAGGCTCGGGCTCGGTACATGCCTAATCAAGAGGAATAAACCATGATTCAGTATTTATAGTAGATGAGTTCGAAATAGATGTAAAGGAAGTTGAATTCATTTTTGAGAAAGTTAATAGCTAAAAAAAGATATATGTGATGAAGTGTTGTCAAAAGTTTATCTGTTGAGTAGTTTATATATAGGATTTTTAATAATCATTACTTCGTCTCCAGACATTCTTAATATCCTTTTTTTCTCCTTTCCATTCCATAGAACAAAGTATTACCTCATAATCTATGAGATATTTTTAAAAATTTTTTTTCTATACTATAAATTAATTATCAGTGATTTAATAAGTTATCTCTCGATTTCTGCAAAATATTTATAACTATCTACATACTATATTATAAAAACAGTTGATATATTCATCGAAAATATATTTTTATCTTTCATTACAGCGCTAATGATATTCTTCGCCAATTTTCAACTCCGATTTATATCTAATAGAAAAGGGATACAAAGCATTTTTTTAGACATCCATGTAATCTTTTCTTTCTTTTTAATCCACCTCAGAGAACGACGAGATACATCACATAATTAAAAAAACTATTTTTTCATTTAATAAAACACACTTCCGCTCATTATAAACCGATGAGCTTTTTTTGAATGGCTAAATATATCATATTCTTGTCGATGTTTATCAGTTACAAGGAATACATAATTATGAAAACTGGGAAGAAATATTCACGCACTATACATAGGTTCTAAACCATTCATATTTATATTTATATTGTGTTTGGTAAAAGTAATGAGTATAACACTTCAATGTGTTAATCTAGAAGGTATGAGTGCAAAAGTGAATATTAGCTTTTTACACTCATCATATCCTTGTTCAGATTTTAAGCTAATACAATCGAATATAAAAATCTTACTATCTGTTTTTTTCTATTAAAAGATTTCTGAATGAATCTATTTAAGAGAAGAGTGGTTATTGATGTGGGTGTACTTCTCATATCCTACCATACGTGGAACCGTACCGATCGATCTTCACCACTCTTTTTACCTGTCTTTAAGATTTCAATTATTGCTGAAATTGTAGTTGTAAATATCGACTATCACTTCCTCATCGTTCAAAAAATAATATCTCTCATGAAATTCTAATAGCTGGTATTTTTGGGTTCACGTTTTCATAAGAAAATATCAGAGAGGTTTACGTTGTGTTATTTAAATTTTGTTGACAATTATCATCATGTGAGTATGAAAACACTGAGATATAAAGAAATCTTGGATAGAAAATCTAGTTTTGAAACCTTATGTTTCAGCTTATCTCATTTATCTGCCTGTAGCAGCATTCTTACAGTCAATCAAAACTTCTTTCAACTGTCTTAAATAAATTATACTTATTAAGTAAGAAGAAACCATATCATTATTAAAAAATGTAAAGGGTGGCTGTTATATCTTTCTTTCTTATAGATCCAAACCCACACCGTTCGCAATACCTTAATAATCAGAAAAGGTCAATGTAAAAATCCATTCATGGATAAGAGGTCCACGTCTAAAACTAGTTGTATCATGTAAAAAAACTCATACGTTTTCTGGTTTTTGCCGGTCTAAGATTTAAACCGGTCAGGTCAGTTGGATCTGAATTTTTTGACCGGTTACAACTCTCCGTTAGAGATGAGATTAAAACACATTACGATTAACGATATCAAAGACTAGTCGAATAAAAATCGATGGAAAAAGAAGAGCTTGATGCTCGAAAACATTGTCCAAGATCTAAACTAAATATCATAAATAGATTTCAGACAATGGAGAAAAGCAAGATATTCAGTTGTCAATACATTTGAAAATGTACCAGAGCGAATTTTTTTATGCATTCACGTTTCTTCGCGAACAAAAATCGTGTAATTCTATTTCACAGATATCAAATATCTGATCAATTTTAAAGATTTATTTCGAAAAAAAGATTGAAAATATATTTAGAGTTCATTATAAGAAAATATAAATAGTTTGCGAGAGATAATATTTAGAGTCCAGCTTTGTCCAGCCTTGTTAATTCTCTTTTTTGATCAACATAAATCTAAAAAAAACAGAAAATGATTTTAAATAGAAAATAAAATAGATATCAACATACTTTATCGACTGCTTCTAGCAATTGATCAATTCTATCAGAAAAATTCTCAATTGGATCAAAATATTGTGAACGCATTCTACTATCTCTTTCTTCTTGAATTTCTTCTTGATTTAATCTTTTCAAACCTAAAATATTAATAGAAAACTATGTTCTACTGAGATACATCAATCTTGAGAGTGGGTGTAAAAGTCTTTTCTTCAGTCATACTCACATCTACCCACACCCACACCCTCAAGATACCAACAAAATCTCAATTGACCTGAATAAATCATGTAAATTTACATACCTGTCCATCGTAAAAATTTCTTCACCATAAATGATAATATAATTTGATCTTCCTTTTGATTCTTTTTCGCATGACGAAAACCATCATTAATTATTGAGAGAAACATATTTAAACAAACAAAAACAATCAGAAATATAAATAACGTAAAACAGAATGGACCAAGAAATGCATCAGCTCCAGTTATTTCTGATGCATCACATTTGATTAATGTCATTTCAAAAAGCATTTGAGCAGTTGATAATAAACTTGAACACGACGAAAGCTTTGATACAAATAATAAATAAAATAAACAGAGAAATGCTATAAATACAATTGCAAACAATAGTGAAAATGAAATCAATGCCTTTGCACAAGATTTTAATGTTTCAGCGAATAAACATATTTGTTGATTAAAACGAAGTAAGTGAAGACATTTAATTATACTAAAAAAACAACAATAACCAAGAAGAAATGTTAAAATATCATTAACATAAACTGCAAGTTGTAAATTGATATAAACATATCCATTTGTTTGTTCAAATAACTGACTTATACGATTTGTTTCTTGAAAACGCCAAAAATAAACGCCAATACTTCCCAATGAGCAACCAATGATTCCTAATTGAATTATGGACCAAAACTGATGAAAATATTTTAGTCTTAATTCAAATATTAATTGAATTTCAATGATCATAAAATAAATAATAAAAAATATATAAAATATTGTACAAACTAATTGTAATATTGATGTAAATGCTAAATTTAAAAAACAAAAATTCATTTGTCTTTAGAAATAAAAAGTAAAGAGTAAATTACTGTAGAAATCAATTGGTTCGAAACGAGCTGTTGTATAAATACCACCTGTTGGTAAAAATTCAGCAAGTAAAGTAACTGCAGTTAATAATTCAACACTTGGATTATATAATGTTAGTTGGATAAAAATAGCTCTTGTTTTCTCATCAATCCAATCTAATTGATAAAGTTTAGATAAATTTGTTTTCATATCCGATAAACGACCACGAAATTCATATACATAACCACCACCTCTATATGTTCCAAATTCACCTACATATGTATATGTATCTAATTCATCACTCGTAGAATAGTTAAATGCTTTTAGAATCGATGAACTATATACTTCGTCTTCTATTGTTTCATTTGTCCATCCTGGTTGAAATAATTTTGTTTCTTCATTAAAAAAACTATAACTATCTTCACATATTGAAATAACACGTCGATCGGAGCATAATTCTGATTTAACACGTAATTGTCTCATTGTTGCCCAACCAATTAATCGATTAGATTTATCATTTAAAAATCCATTTAAATATTGTGGAATATCTCCATTATACCATT